AATTTAGAAAAGTAATCCGTTACATTACTTTAACAAAGTAATTGAAAAAGTTACACTACTATTACATTTTAAATAGGGTAACTTGTAATCTGTAACCTATTACATTTCCAAAGTAACCTTCCCAACACTGCTTGCAAATGATCAATGTAGCTGAACTTGCAATTCTTAGAAGATGGAATTTTGAGTCAGAATTGTGAGAGAAAAAATTGCAATGACCTTTTTTTATTCTGTAGCAGAAACAAAATTTGTGCATTTATGAATGTAAAATTTGCCAATAAACAAAAGTAAATTTATACAAAAACATATTGTCACTAAAACACAAAAAAGAATATAAGAAAGAAAAATCAAATAACAAATTTTGAATAATTGGAGCATTAATATTACTCCAAAAGGATTGACTAAAATGATGAACAGATGACTTAGTTGTAGGGCAAAGATTCACAAAAAGAGCAGGATGCGTCAATTATATTTTTACATTTTTGAAAGAAATGCTTAACGGTAAAATTTGTGAATAATTTTATAAGAGATTTCAGTATGAGTGAAATACTTAAGTACCATTAAAATCAGACTTAAGTCGTTTTGTAATTGGTGACTTGTAATGATGTCATCTTTTGCTGTAAGGTATCTGTACTTTTACTCAAGTATGGTTTGCAGGTACTCCTTACACCTCTGGGTATCGGTTCAGTAGTAGTATCGAGATAATTTAGTCAGGTATCGTATCGAAGTCAAAATGTTGGTATTGTGACAACACTAGGTGGGAGTAGAGAGGGCAGGGAACCAACATCTCCAAACTCAAAACAGTCATTTAATCAAGTTTTCAGAAACTCACTCTCAGAGGCGGGAGTGTGGCGGAGCTTCTTTCCATCCCCTCGCATCCAGCATAACTCCCACGACGACGGACTCTGGTCAGACTTGAGAGCCTTGGGCTCCGGGACGATGCTACTTTTTAAGGAGCTCTTGTCAGGGGCGGATTTAGTGATTTGGGGGCCCCAGGCAAAATATAGGAATGGGGCCCTATATATTTGCACCCATTTACCTAGATCAGCCTTGAGGTTCCTTTTTTGTTGTGATGCTTGCTGCTGCACAATGGTGCCCTACAGCTGTGTCCAATGTTTCTACATTTTTCATGTACATGTTATAATGGCTTTCTTTCATGTTGTAGACCACGAAATAGCAATTGATTTACAGTTTTCACAAAAACAAAATAAATTATAAAATGATAAACCTCACAATTGAGCCTTTAAACCATTTTTTAAGAAAGATGAGTCGGAAGTATAAATTATGATATTAATTTAAAACGGGGTTATGTGGGTGGATTTTTGCATTGGTCTGAACAAAAACTGCATTATTGAAAATGCACATTGATTCTCTGCCAGTAGGAAGCGATAGCATGCGGATGTGGGCCACTTAAGGCAATGATACGGCACTGGTGGCCTTCTTATGGCCCGTACAAAATGGCGGCCCCCGCAATATATATATATATATATATATACATAAGTTCTTTATAGTTGTTTTTGTAATACATTGACTAAAACTTTGTATCATTTATTTTGACACTGCTCACATGTAAGGACATTTTGGAAAGTTTTGATAACAGACTTTTTTAATAAACCCAGACTTTGTTTTTGGTTCTTGAAAAGGAAATTCAAATATATATCAAGACTATTTTTCATTCTTACAATAGGGGTTATGCGCAACAGACTTCCGTATTCTGTTAACCGGGTCTCGTCGCTT